AACTTTGTTTTTTTATATATGACAACTGCAGCAAGACTATTATATGCTCAAAAGTGGAAAGGTTTGACACCCAGTACAATGGAGGAATGGTTGGTGAAGATAATGGAACTTGTGGAGATTGATAAATTAGCTTTTTTTTAATTAGAGAAGAAGCAATATCTACACTTATGGCTGACTGGAAATTCCTTATAATCTTTTTGCATGAAAGGGAGGGGGGACTCCATTTATGATTTGTGGTTTTAATGATTAGGGGGAAACCCCTGGATAATAGAAAAAGCGTGAATTTTTTAGAGTAACAAATTATTCTGTAATTTATATTAGATGCAAGAAAACTGGAAGCTTCTTTCTGTTTCTTTTTATTCTTTCTTTCTGCACTTTTGCTTTTTTCTTTCTTCATCCTTACTTTCTTTATTGCTTTTACTCTTTACCAGTTTATGTTAGTTTTTATGTTCTTTATAAATTTTTAAATAAATATTTATTTTAAAAAATAAAATTTACAGAATTCGCATCTCTGTGACTCTTGGGGTTTTACAGAATGAAACACAGATACAGCAGCTAAAACATGCATAGAAGAAGAAAAAGATCACAACAACAGTTGGTGACATCTCTGTCCAGCAATTCCATTTTGACTGAAAGTTATTTGCAACTCGGCTAGGCTCACTTACCGAGAGAAGTTGGTACAAAGAATTGGTGCCATCCCCAAAGACCAATGCTTTCTCCCAAAAACATAAACTGTTAGTTTCTCCTGGGATGAATATCTTAAACATGTCAATGTTTGTTGGAGAAGATAGCCTTGTAGGTACCTTTTTAGTTGTAAGTGTGCCCCTTTAAAAAAAGTAGCAATTTCTCAACAGCACAAAATTATATTAATGTTAATTAGATGTTCTGTAGGAGAAGGCAATATAAGCAAGTATTACATGATTTTTATCTTGCCTCAAATCACATAGGCAATAATTGTTTTGGGACCTTGCTTTCAGTTAAATAGTGCAGCTAAAGATAATATATGCAGAAATGCTGTACCATGCCTATTCTGGGGTGCAAATATTGCTATCAGTATCATATATAGAGAAAGAACAGGAGAAGGAAGATGAAGAAGGCAAAATATGGGTGCTTTATGAAAATGGTGGCAGCAGGAGAAGAATTGGCTGAAACAGAATAGTTGAAGCTGTGAATATAATTAAGAGTTATTGATGACCTACAGTAGAGCAGCAAATGCTGCTTTGTCAGCTCTCTGCCCCTACTACACACATACATAACAAGTCCATTTGCAAAATACTTAAGGACAAAGGGGTGATTTTGACTTGACGATAGAACCATGTCTATTTATATTCTATATTCATTATGTACTTCTCCTTGGGATTAGTATGGAAAGCACAGAAAAGGCGTCAGAATGAGTCAGCTAAAAAAATTACAGCAGGAGATAAGAAAAAAGAGAAGGAAATATAGCTACACCTACTTTACACCACAATAGTCTACTAGAGGTACTCAAACCTGGCGAGGCTGTGACCTCTAACATTCTACATCAGTGGTTCTCAACCTGTGGGTCGGAACCCCTTTGGGGGTCGAATGACCCTTTCACAGGGGTCGCCTAAGACCATCGGAAAACACATATTTTCAATGGTTTTAGGAATAATTTTATTATTGGGGGTCACCACAACATGAGGAACTGTATTAAAGGGTCGCAGCATTAGGAAGGTTGAGTGCCACTGTTGTACATGAATTTTAGTGCTACCTCACTCTCAATATCAAAAGCTATGAAGGCAAACAAGCCAATTGTCAGATCTACCATCGTCTTCTATGGTGTCCTGCCATTATGCTACAGGGGGAGGGGGGATGGTGTGCTTGGGATTTTTCCGCTTGTGCTGTTGGCTTGGGAATTAGGGAAATGGATTGTCTTTGGAGATTGGATGGACTTCTTCCCAGCCAGTTTTTGCTAGGTTCCAAGGTTGTCGTGCCCTGAGTGTGAATGATTATCTACCTAGTACCTCAACATTCTCCTGTAATTAGCAAAAAAAATCTATATAAATTTGGCCCAAAATTTAAAAAACCACAAACCAATTAAACATTTAAAAATTTTAAAAAATTTCTTCCTAAGCCAGCCCGGCTTGCTGGAAAAAGTGGGTTTTAAGGGCACGGCGGAAGGCACTGAGGTCTTGGATTCTCCTTATCCTTATCTTAATTAAATTCAAGGTAAGACAATAACTTGTAGCCAGTTATTGAGGAAGGAGGGGATGGTCAATTTTCAAACTGGCTGTCCTTCCGTCCCATATTTGATCCGAGAATCTCAATCATGCACAAACCTTCCTTCTGGCTCAGAGTTTTTCTGTTATCGTTAGTCTATAAAATATTTACTGTGGAGTTTTAAAAAAACAGTAGTAGCAGCAGCAGTAGCTTTAATGGATGAGGGATCACTGTGGCTTTTAGATTTTTCTGTTTTGGAAATGGAGAGAAGTGGTGGTGGTATGAATATTCTACAGTTTGGTGTCCTGTTAAGGCATCAGGCTAGAAACCAGGAGACGGTGAATTCTAGTCCTGCCTCAGGCACAAAGCCAGCTGGGTGACCTTGGCTGGTCAATCTCTTTCAACCTTTCTTGTCAAGAAGATGGCAGTGACATGTCCAGGCAATGACCAGGAATCAATACTGATTTGAAGGTACAAAAAAGACAGACTTTGGAAATATGGAAGAGAAAATCAGTGGTCAGTACAATAAACAGAATAAGGCAGATATTTCAACTGGTATACTATGAGCTTCATGAAAGGATCTTTACTGCCAGGGAGGTGGAGAGACTTTTATGGGACTTTCTGTCTCCTGTGCTGTGATATTTTGGCTGGCAATAGGTAGTATGAATTGTGACTTGTCATGAAAAGCATTCCCTGTTCACCACAAAGAACAAAATGCGTCTTGTGGGAACTGGTGACGGTGATTCATCTTTCTTCTCTCCGCTAGTCAAGGAGACAGGTTGACAAAGATTTCTTCTTGTACCCCAAGGACCATCTTTGCTGGGACAGGGATTGAAAGGCAGAGAATGAATGCTGAATATTGCAGGAACTCTTCCAGCAAGCTGAGTTCAATAAAGTTGAAGACATATATTTCACTGTTCATCCCATATCAACGTGCAAGTAATTACACAATGATTAGGCATCTCCAATGATTTCCTTCTTTGAAAGTTGTACCCTGCAAGTATCATGATGTTTGATATTTCTTTTAGTTCCAATGTTGAAAGCATGTACACTACTTTTTAATAATGGTATTTTTATTAAAGGTTAAAAATACAAAGATAAAAGCTAAGACAAATATAAAAAGTAAAAAAAAAAGTGGAGAGAAAAAAGGACAAAGGAGGTATATAAAAAAATAGAAAGAAATCAACTCTCCCTTCAAGACAAATACAATCAGTTTCAGTAATTTACCCCTTCTCTAACGTTGCAACCAAAAATCCCTTATTCCCATGTCTCATCTTATCTATAAACAAATTATAAACAAATTATAAAGCCTCATCATTCAATCTTAATTCATTCAGTTACCAGAAATAATAACGTATATATTTTAACATTAAGCAAATAAATCAATGTTATACCCTCTTACTTTTAACACAGTAACTTACCATTTTCTCTAAAAATACAAAAAATTCTTCCCATATCTTATCTTTTATCTATAAACAAATCTTTAAAACCTTGTTATTCAGTCCTGGTCCAGAAAACCTATTAAGAGCTACTAGAAAGAACAATATATCTATATAGCCAGCCTTATAGTCGTTTTGCTTTTAAAAAATCTTGATGTTTATTCCTTTAAATAATATTTCCAAAACTGATTTCTTTTCATTTTTTCTTTATTTTTTCTCAGGAACTTCTTTATGAGTCTAACACATCTCTTTTGTAAATCCAAGGTAAGATATGAAGATTTCAAATCTAAGTTTAAGAAATGTTATGGATTAGAGAAAAATATGAGTTGTCCAAGTCACTGTTCTGGTTTGTTGTTTGGGTGGCCCTTTCAGTTATTAAGATATCAGCCAATTTATATTTACTTGTAAATCCTGTGTAACATCATTTTCTATATCATCCTTATATCTTCTCATTTTTAAATCCAGATTTGCTACTTTTGCTACTTTTATAGTAGCAAATCTTAAGAGAAATTTCTGAGGTCAGTGGTGCCAACTATTTTTGAATTCTTTCAGTGTTAAAATACTTGTTTTTCCATTCGGTATTAGTGGGTCTCTTCTTTAATTTAATCTTTACTTCTTTCTGGTTGCCTCTAGTGTCCAGCCTTTTGAGTTTCCTCATGTTTTTCTCTAATCCACTACATTTCTTAAATTTAGATTCAAAATCTTCATATTGTTTTTCCACGGTCCAACTTTCACAACTGTAGATAGCCATGGGAAACACCACAGTGTGGACTAATCTGCATTTAGTTGCCAGGCTGCATCATGCAATAACTGGGGAGGAACAAGACTAGGTTCTGGGTGTAACATTCACTTGTAGTCAGGCAGCCCGGGCCCCAGTTTTCCTACAAAGAAGCTTGCTTGTTTAACATTTATTGGCTGCCCCTCTTACCACAAGGCACAACTCTTATGCCTCGACCAAGTCTGTTTCTGCAATGATCAGGACTGGGAACTCACACCCGAACTATCATCTGAAGCTTCTTTCTACTAAGAACATGTAAAGCGAGAAGGATAGAGAAAGCATGCTTGTATATGAAATTCTAGCTGCCTCAATTTGAAAGATAGTGTGTGTGTGTGTGTGACGTACCTCTTTATGACACATACCCTCTCAAGTATCTAAGGTTCAGCAGACTGCTGCTGGCATTCTTTTCTGCCTAGACTGAAAGAGCAAACAGGGTGTGTTTGTTTTATCTTTTCTACTAATCAAACAAAAGACACGAAAAATGGAAGATTTTTCTGTTGATTTCCTCACTAAAACCTCCAGAAGAACAAACTCCAGTGAGTCAATGACAACCTATACAGGCAACCCCAGGAAATCCATCAACTCAGACATGCAGCAATGAATCAGAGCTAACCAGGGTGTCATTTAATAGAGAGTGTGGAGAGTGAACCAACATTTTTAGTAAATGGAACATTGATTCCCCTATTACAATGGGAGCCAGTGTTATTGCTATGTCATTTAGGCCCTGGGGTAAATGTTAACATTTCTGGACTCCAACTTGCACTGGAATATACTAAATCAAGTGGTCTGGCAACAATACTTGCATGGCATATGTCCCTTACATGATACACCATTCACCTGAATACATCCTTTATTGCTTTTTCTTTCTGTAAATAAAAATCTGGCATTCTTCTGTCCCCTCTCCCCCATTTTTAAGACAACAGAGCTTTTTCCAAGTACGCACCAGTCCCCAAGAAATTACATTTGAGCATTCATTCTCTTATACCTTATAGGAAACGAATGATAGAATGTTTTGTCTGCTAGAAGAAGCATCTTTAACTTTATCTGGCTCAGAAAAAAGAATCCAATCCATATTTGGAAAGAAGCATCTTCCAGGTTTTCCTCTCTGATGCTATTTCTGCTCATGCATTTAGCCTGCAGACAAGAGTTCCTATTAAAGTGATTTCTATTTCTGTTTCCTTGATTTTGATTGCCAGGTCTAAAGGCGAGTAATATCACAGGGCTGTTCTATTACACTACATAGTTCTGTTTCACCCCTAAATGAGATGAGGGTGGGGAGCCCTGGGTCATTTCACAGTAATTATAAGAATTGAACCTGAACTGTGATGTTTGGACAGTCCTGCTCAGCAGAGGCAACTGAGGGCAAACGGTTGTTGCAATTTAGAGTAACCTAATCCAGTGAAAATGAGAGCAGGCACGTGGCATCCCAACATGTGGCTTTGGCATGCAGTGGTAATCTTACTCTTAACTCCGTTGGCCTTCAGCTCATGCAGTTAAAGAGCCAAAGAAAAAGGCACAACCCAATTTTAGATGGGGGTCTATGAAGGATTAGCGTTGGCCTGCCGGTTATTTAACAACATAATCTGGAGACCATGGTAACCGATTCTCTTTGCGAAGGGCAGCATTTGGCATTCCTCGGTAGCTTCTTTCGTTTTAGCGGATGGCCGTGGATAAAAGCATCCTGGGTAACAGTTGTTGTCAATCCTAATTTCGAACATGGTATTAAGAAGGATTTATAGCAAGTAGAAAAAAACTCAGAGAAAAGTAATAATATTTCAAATGCAGCTTTTCCTGCCATAATCCTCTTCAAATGGGTTGATATACAACTCCCATAATCCTCAACTAGCATGGTCAGTAGCTATTATTTTTGGCTCTTTAAATCTTCTTGTCTCTGTAGAGAACTCCATTAGCAAAAACATTAACTTCTCTCATGATGTTTATAGCAAGCAATGGCTCTTTAAAAATTCCTTTCCTGTCTTCCCATTCCCTCCTGTTTCTAATACAAATGTCTTGCTGTTGCCTTTTTTGTACATCTTTCTCTCACCTAAGCCCCGTTCCCAAAGGTAGTCTCCCCTCTTCTGCTAACCTGGTGTCTTGTTCTTTCAAAAATGTCTTATTTTCCTTTATTCCTTCATACATCAGAATTTCCATTGATCTATGCAATCTCTCTACCCTTCTCTTTCCTTTATTATCATTTTATCCTCCCAGAATTTAATGAAAAATAAACATCTGTAGCCACATCAATCTCTATCCACTATCAGGGAATCTTCAGGGAGACTTTAAAAAAAGTCAAGATGGCAGCCACAGCTATACAATCAAAGCCTTGCCCTTTCTGATGTGCATGTAAAAAAAAAGGGTGTGGGCTTCAGTAATTTGGATGGAAGTACTAACTGGACTTTTTTTGACCCCTTATACAAATACTTCTGTTCACTATCCTTTCCTTACCTGCTTTGTCCTATACTTTCTGACTGTCTAAATATCCAATTTCTTGGTTGAGAGATAAAGCCATTTTTATTCTTACTCTACCAAGCATACAAAGAATAATCTTATAAGTGAGGATATATTATGTAGTGAAGATTTCAAGAATTAAATCTTAAAGCCTAGAGAGGTAGGGCTATGCGTAAGATGATTTTGAGATGGGAATGAACAGAAATGTCCTACAACACAATTGTGATCATTCTGTTTTGCTTTACTTAGCCACTGTCTTTTTAAAGTGCCTTTTAAAATTGGGCCTATATTTAGAATATCCAAAATGGCAGCATCCATGCATTAAGAGAAAGATGTTTATTTATTTATTTTTCAAATTTATATACCGCCCTTCTCCCGAAGGACTCAGGGCGGTGTACAGCCAAAGTAAAAACATAAATACAAACATTAAAACCAATTTAAAAAGATATATATATATGTTTGGCCTCAAAATTAAAAGAACAATAACAAAGCTATTAAAAACATTTTTTTTTAAAGTGTTAAATATAAATTTGAAAAATAAATAAATAAATAAAGAGAAAGATGTTGGCAGATTCAAAATTCTGTAATGCATAAAAATACATAACTTTTGGCAGCTGAATCCAAAGTCTTAAAAGTGAGGTTTTTGATGATTGTGAGATTGTGTGCAAATGGTTTTTTCATTAGCCAGATTTCTATCAAAGCTCCGCTTATGGACTCCCATCCTTCCTAGCTCCAAAAGCAGACACAGGATGAGGCCAGGAGGGACCCATTTCTTGTACTTCCTTATTGGTCAGGGCAAGGGAGAGTTGGGTGCCTCAGTCCAAGTTTTCTTCTGTGTGAGGACAATTGTAGGCTGTACTGAGACAGTTTTTGAGGTTGCAGAGTCTGGGAAGAAGCAAAAAAACATTTGCTATGAGAAAATGCTCAGGTAGTACGGGAATGGGATGGAATAGCTACAAAGGAGTGACAGAGATCATAATTCTTACACATGTTTATCTTTATTCCTCCTCTATTCCAGTAAATACCCAAATAACCAAGAGCACTACTAGCCTTGACTTGAGATGAAAACACAGTGTTTTATTCCTAATAAGGTTGCAAAAATCTAGACAGCCACTAGATGGTAATAAAGATATATGGAAAACTATGTTTGCTGCCATCTTGTGGTCACCTTAATTTTTGTGGCCTAGATTTTGGAGTCGGGTCACTAATAATGAATTCTCGCGTAGATTCAAAGTGGTTAGTGGGCATAAAATTCTCCCTTTATATTTGGTGAATGCTTGGAGGTTAACCCCACTACGATGATGGTCCTTGTATATATAACTGGCCTTGCAAATGTGATCCTCATTAACTGTTTATGTTAGTTAGGCACATATGGGCAAAGTCACTATTCAAGTATATAATTGGAGGGGAAAAAGTGCTCTCTCCATTGCCAGGAAGTTGATTTTTAGAAAACTATATAAAACTTACATTGTTATCACCTTGGATCAGGAAAATTAATCAGATGGTCAAAGGGAAGTTGTAATAAATTCAATACTGTATCTCTAGTACAGGAGTATTAGATCTGCATTGTCAATAGCAATTCAGCTTCCGTTTCTAATTTCCTGGTTTGCTGCTACTACTTTGTTCTATGGAACTGAGTTTTCTCCATCTGATGGCACTGAAGAAGAATTTGAAGTCATTGACTGTGAAGTTAAAAAGCAAGTTTTGCAAATTCCTCTTTTGGTTCGAATAGCTTAGCATAATTTATGTCTAACCATATGTCAACTTGATATATGTTGCAGTTTTATCTAAATACATTTTTGTGAAAATCTTTGCATCTTAGCCACATAGGACCCATATAAACAAAGAAAACGTTTTGAGGACCTTGCCTCTATGCAAGTTGCAGAAAAGTTTGTAGACCTTGCCTCTGTGCAACCATGCCCATCCTCTGTGCCTATATTAGGAAATGGGATTCTGACATCCAAGAAACTGAAGGGCTATGAAGTTCCCATAAATTATGAAAGAATCGCCTATTAAACTTTCCATGAGTTTACAGGAACTTTACAGGAAGTTAAAGCTAAAGATGTGAGTTGGATAAAATACAGCTGTAGAGCATTTCCCGTATAGTAATAGTTAGAAGGGAATGAAAATTAGAAAACTCAAAGATATCAGAACGAAAACAAGTCTTCAGCTTTCCCCAAACCGCCTCCCAATTAAGGATATTTAAAGGCAACATCCTTGGGTTATCAGAAAACTCTGTTGGCATGAAATGAGCTGCTCCTGCTATTAATCCCAATCTCATCTCTAGGTAAATCACTCTGTTCTGATTATGCACCTGCTGGCAAAGTGGTTGGCTGGTTCCTTCATCTCTGCTACCCTCTGCATAGCACATCAACAGCCAGTCGTGGATCTACAGACTGGGGCGAATCTGTTGCAGGACTGTTGCAGGACTGGGGCAAATCTGTTGCAGAATTCAATTTGTCATCTCTTATTCATTTTCCTGTGTCTTCAATGTCAACACATTCTGTTACAGCTCAGACTGGAGAAAGTTCAAAAGGGCAAATAAAATCAGTCATAAGGGAAGCTGCTTGTAAACCACACATTTCTTTAAACTTTTTTCCCTTTTTTTTTTTTTTTTTTTGGTATGGCAGAAGATGATAACTGCCAGGTTCTTCTGAGTTCTGTTCAGGCGATACTGAGTGAGAACTGATTCCATTAGTCTACTATTCTTTTATTACAGCCTTGTGCTTTACCAGAAGGACTATAGAGTTAAAGCATGTGTGCAGTATTATCAGCTGAAAATTGTAGTGCTATTGTATAATTCTGATTGACATCTCCCACTTAAAAGAAATGCTGGATATTGCTTTCATCAGCCCATGCCTGGATGATATAAAAATGGCTACATCCATATGCCATATTGAACTTGCTTACGAACAGGTAGAGCTAGGTTGCTATAGGAAAGCTTCAATTAAAAAAAACCCTTTACTGCTCTTGTACAAATCTACAGGACCACTGCCTGGGTTGTTGTATCCAGCTCTTTAGGGAGATAAAAGCCAAATGGAATAAAATCTCATTGGAGAAGGAGAGCATGATCACATTGTTCTGTAACAGCCAATAGATGCTCCTCTGATCCCACCTGACCCACCCATCCATCTGACATCACCTCTGATGATAAAGTGTAACAGATTTTGCCTGTTTTCTGACTATCACTGGATGTTGTTGGCTTAAGGGGGAAAACATTACTTTAACATTAGTACAGCTAAGAACAATTTAAATCTATTTTATAAGCTGGAGTTGAGATGAAGACATTATAAGGACACTGTAGTCAAGACACATTTGTGCCATGGTTAAATACAAATAGAGAAAGTCCCTAAGAATTTCTACAGATTTGCATCCAATACAGGAGTTCAATACTGGGAAATTATTTCTAGCAGCTTTTCTGTAGCAACCAGTTCAAGTGGTCCAGTTTTATTTTAGTTATGTATTATTTCAAGTCTTTCCTATCTATAAGTGTGGGGCAGCAAACGTGTGCATATGTGTGTATTTTACTAATTATATTTCCAGTACAGGTAGTCCTCAACTTACAACAGTTCATTTAGTGACTGTTCAAAGTTACACCACCACTGAAAAAAGTGCCTTTTGACCATTTTTCACACTTACGACCTTTGTAGCATCCCCATGATCAGGTGATCAAAATTCAGATGCCTGGCAACTGGTTCATATTTATGACTGTTGCTGTGTCCCAGGGTCATGTGATCACCTTTTGTGACTTCTGACAAAGCAAAGTCAATGGGGAAGCCAGATTCACTTAACAACTGTGTTACTAACTTATTAACTGCAGTGATTCACTTAACAGCTGTGGCAAGAAAGAACGTAAAATGTGGTAAAACTCACTTAACAAGTGTCTCACTTCACAACAAAAATGTTGGGCTCAATTGTGGTTGTAAGTCAAGGACTACCTGAATAACTAACATTGATTAGCTTGAGAAATTGTGATTACCCCAAAGTTGCCTAGTGACTTTCATGGTAAAATGGAACTTGAACCTGGTTCCTCATAGACTGAGTAATATAGTGTCTTCATCCTCTGCACAGTATCTTCTAATGAAAGCTAATGAAATCTTCTGAAGTGAACTGTCAGTCCAGCTGCTTTGGCCTCCATATGCTCCACCTATTTGCAGCTTTACTGTTAGAATATCAGTTGATAAGGAGGGAGGGGTAACCTAGCTTGGTGGATTGAAAGGAGGTGTATCCTGTACTAAGAAAGGGAAACAAAGGGACTGTCACAGTTCCCATGAGGTATGAAGATCTGGCATTCTTCCCAGTGTTTTAATGCTTGCACGCATCCCAGAATGAGCAGAATCCTTGCAAGAGCTTATTTAATCTGGCTGGTCATTGGATGTCATTCTTGTAAATGTACTGTAGAAATATTGACTTGGCACCACTGACAGTGGATCTTAAAAATTTGCAAAAAAAAAAAAAAAAAGCAGAGTTCAGACTCGCTTATTAGACCACTGCTTAATCATTTTGGGGCTTGAACAATTAAACTGTTAGGCTTTCCTCTGGAATGTTGGTAGATTTTTCCATAAGAATCCAATCTCTTTCTGAAAGTTTATGTGGCACTCCAGAGACTGCAGTTATTGAACTGGGCTCCTTGCGAGCTACAAAGACGATGTCACTGGTCTTGGAAGCACAGCCTATAATGTTCATCAAACAGGTGGAGTTCAACAGGAAGTATGAAGCATAATACTGAAGACATTAGTAAAAAAAATAAGTCCAGACGTACTTCTGCTCAGTGCCTTTGTTTCAGTGAATATTTTGTTGCCTTCTAAAATCCTTACACTTTGTAGAATACCTGTTTTTTGGAGAAGTCTTTCATTTTCTACAAGCTGGGAGTCAACAAGATGAGAATATTGACCACATAATATGATCTGATTTGTCTACATGGTGGGCACATCAGGGACAAATAAAATCAAGAAATAGGTTCATCTCAGTGGACAAGCAAATTCATAAAAGACTGGAAAGCAAATTCCGGAAAGAGAAGGGTGGGGTGGCATTATAAAAAATGTTCCTGTAATTAGCAAAAAAAGGCTTTAGACCTGCCCTGCAATTTAGTGTTTATAATTTAATTTCATTGCCACATTATATTGTTCATGTTATTAGCTGTTCGAACTATACGTGAAGTCTTCCGTCTTTTTACAGCTTTCCCTTTAAACCATGAATTAAAATAATCTCAATAAACTCATATTACAATGAATAAATACTTTGATACATCCGCTTGCTTTCACATTACTATTTCTGTCCAGTATTAGAAAACGTATTTTAATTTTTAAAATACCTTTATCCTATCTTCTCTGTATCAATTGTCATCTTCAAGTACAGCAATGAGTTTCAGTTTCCTAATATTGAATCCATTTTTTGTACCAAGGTGAGTTATTAATATTTGCTGATATCAACACAGTAAATATTTCCTTTTTTAATTTTTTGCCATTTTTTTTTAAAAAAATCAATTTTTAGGTAGTAGGCTCCAGTGGATTCAGGATAATACTGGGTCTTGTTAGTGAAGAGAATTCTAAGGCTACATGCTAGATCAGTGATGGCTAACCTTTTCGGCACTGAGTGCTGAAACCTGGAAGAGAGCAGCTGGCCAGTGCGCATGCACGTGGTGGCCAGCTGCTCTTCCGGGTTCCGTCATGTGCATGTGCATGCCAGAACTGGGAGGTTCAGCTGTCCGCCGCGCTGAGGCCTGTTATCTCAGAGCTTGTAGCATCGGTCAGTTAGAAAGCTGATTAATACTGAAGTCTAAATTATATTCAGGCACGTCTTCTTGTACACATAAGGCCCTAAAATGCCCTCCCTATTATTGCTAGTGTAAGGAAATGAAAAAGGGCCTATTAATTGAATTAGAAGTAGCGAAGACTAGCTGGCCAGTGCACATGCGCATGACGAAATCCGGAAGAGCAGCTGGTGATGGAGTGTGTGCCCACAGAGTGGGCTCTGTGTGCCATCTCTGGCATGTGTGCCATAGGTTCGCCATCACTGTGCTAGATTGCTAAATTGAAAACACATCCATGAATAAGGATAATAGCCAACTAGTATTGTCTGTTCTGCTGCCAGAAAAATGGCATGGATGTGTCCATGAAGTCCACAGTGATTAAGCTCCACTCAAAGGAGATTTTACAATTTGTCTTTAATAACTGTCCCTCACATTATTTCTTTAGAAACAACTCAGGCTGTTGCTTTAATTTTACAGTATTCAGAATTTATCAGTCATGAAAAGAATATTGCAGAAATGATGAAGTGAGGAGGGCAGCAAGTAACTTCTGTAAACCATATCTAGTGATAAGAGTTTTGCAAACTGCTAGAGACTGGGTAAAAGGAGAGTGAATCTTCAAGTAATTTCTCAAAATTAGAGAAAATCATTCATTCATTCATTCATTCATTCATTCATTCAGTGATATTTTAGGTGTACTTGAAAATCCTAGGAGCAGGAGGAGCAGAAATTCCCTTAATTTCTGCACTGTGTGAGTCAAGTCTCTCTCTCATTCTGACACCCCTGATAATATCGACCATCTACTGTTTTTTCTGAGCCCTAGTTGGACCACTTCTGTCAGTAGGAAATAAAATCAACATTTAGCTAATCTCCTTAAATATCTCTAGGAGAAAAGCAAACGTTCAGGAGAATGCACACAAAAGGCGGACCCGGAAGCTGAAGCCATCCTCAAGCCATTTCTTGTAAAGCAAACAGGAGAGAACTGGCTTGTGGATTGTGGACAAAGAGACAGACTAACTGGTTTGACTTGTTTCTGCACAGCTAGCTACAAATCTGGAATACTTCAATGGTGCTGTCGTCTGCATTTTTGTAGTCTCCCATTCAGAGGCATGAACATACAAGTGTGTATGCAAACACATGCATAAGCCGTAAAGGTATCTAGATGCTTAGAGTTGTGTATATATGTGTATCAGATTCTCAGGATTATACCCTGCACATCTGATGAAATAGGTGGTGATACGTGAGAGCTCATGCATTAACAAATAAGTTACGGTGCCACAAGACTTTTTATTACTTTCCAGGTGGCAAAACTAATAAGGCATGTTTTGATCTTTCCTTTTACAAGATCCAGTTCTCAAATAAAATGTCCCAGGAATGAAACACCATGGGTGCAAGAATAGGAAAAAGTGGCTAATAAGAAAAGCAAATGTGTAAGCATAAATTCTGTTGAAAAGTCATGCAATGTGGATTTAGGGTAGTAGACTCAAGCCCATATAATAAAATGGTAAATCCACCCTTCAAATGGACATTTCCATATGGGTCATCTCCAAATAACCAAGCAGCTGATAGTCTAGAAATTAGGACAACCATGACCTGGATGATTGAGAATCTCCATATATCTGTAGAAATTAAACTTTCCCCCCTGGTGGGTTAGTCTGGTTACTGGCTCTAATCCTCAAACTCAAGTGTCCCTTCATTTCATCTGCTGATTTTCTGTGCCTTAAGAGCTGAAAGCAACAGAATGGGCACAGCTCCCAAGAATGAGCAGA